CTTGGCCCCTGGCCTCGGGGAAGGGGGGCAGATAGGCCAAAAACAAACGAAACAAATGAATATAAATAGAAGCATCGATCTGTCTATATGTATTTTCCACAGTTTGAATTTAGAAATTGATTAATTAAATATGCACATATCTTTTTCGGAGGGGAGGGAGGCGCCCCCCTTCCAGGCCACCAGAGTCCTTTATTTATTCTTAGACCCAGCTGTGGACCGCCTTGTGTGTGTCTGGAAATTTAAAGTGCGTGAATGCGGCTTCAGGATTAAGCCCACATTCAAACCCAACTCAAGACAAAAAGGGGGTGCACACAAGTCCTCGCCTTTATCATTTCATTCACAACCCTCACAGACATATCAAGTTTCAAGATTGCCCTTTTCAGAGGCATATTACATTCTACCCACCCACATGCGATCACATGCGTACCTATCTTGTTTTCATGTTGTATAAGTATGTGTCGTGTATGTGTATGCACGAAAGCTCCGTTGTATGTATGTATGCATGCATGCATGTATGTATGTATGTATGTATGTACGTCAGGTCTCAGTTATTGTGTCTCCGTGTGTATATCTATCTATCTGTCTATCTAGAAGTATGGGATAGTATGGGTGCACATATATATATATAGATATAGATATATAGAGAGAGAGAGATACACATACAAACACATGTACAGATACATCGGCACATGCATGCATATTCCTTCTTCCCACGCAGCGAAAGAATCCGCGTTGCGTACCTGGCGGCACTTGGCCGGCATCCCCCGGATGCTTACTGGCTTTTCCAGCACGCTCTCTGCCCTACCATTCAGCGGGTCGTACCATAAATTTAGTGTAAAAGAAAGTAAAGTACACACTAACACAATAGATCACAAACCCACGGTTCTCCGGTCCGGCGTGGTCTGCCCCATTCGCGACCGGCTCGGTACTACACCACTGTTAAATCTCCCCTGAGGGATCAGTAATACTTGTGAAGCTATATGTGCCACTTCAGTAGGAAACCCGACAACACAAGACCATTTTGGGAGCTCACGGAGGGCAACCTGTGCATGTTCTGTACAGTGCTATGCCGTCACTCGATGCATGAAAATCAAGTAAGCATTCTCCCTGACCTCGTTGTGATCCCGAGCTGACGCAGTCTGAGCACATTGATTGTCATCAGTTGTATGAGTGAGGAGGCCCTGTGCAATCCACACCTGTAGTGCCCGCTGTGCTTTGACTCCCCTAGGTGATACATCACTGAGTGCAGTAGGTATCTGGTGGACCGGGTTGTGACTCTGTGCTTCGAACACCCAACAATTCATATTAGAGGATGAGACGCGACCCATGTACAACCCCCCAAACAAGGTCCCTGAGGGCCAAAGTCTGACAATTCTGACTCAGATACGACACACACCCAAACCGGAAAGGATATGATGGAGGTAAATGCATAAGCCACACATGCTATTGGCAAAAACTGCGCCCTGAGGGTTCCAACTGGCTGTGATGGGCCATCAGGATACGACAAGAATGATGGTACATCCAAAGCCTGAAAGAGTGGGCGACTTGCATATCACATACAATACAGTAGGGTACTTGCATAATCATCCTAATTTAGTTCTGCCGCCGCATACTATAAGAGTGCTGTTATGCCTCATGATATGAAGCATAGTTAGCAAATCTTCACACAGCATGCCACATGTAGTTACTTCGCATCGTCACGAAAGCCTGTAATATACAATTCAAAATCGCATTAAACAGCGACGCACACATATATACATAGATACACAGTACATGGACGTACATGCATGCATATGTATGTGTATATATATATGCACATATATATATATATGTAAACATACCTACATACATACATACATACATACATACATACATACAGAGGGCCTCATACCCTAAAGCTCTCCACGTTTTCGGTGTACATCTATACCTATACAGATATATGCATACGCACACACACACACATATATTGTGACAGAAAAACACATGCATACTTGGATACATAATGCATGAACAGCTAGCTAGCTAGGTTGATAGGTAGGTAGATTGATAGATAAGCACATACAAAGCCCTAAACAGGCTCCTGACGTACTTCGCAGATTCCGGTGCACCTTTCCTCATGGAGGTGGCGGCACGAACGGATGCTGACAAGAAGGGGGGTCACCTAGCCATCATGAAGGACAGGCTTGGGACCTAGGATGTAGAACCTAAGCCCAGGGTTGAGTATCTAGGGTTTAAGATTCAAGTCTTCACGTGGGGTATCATGTCATGAGCCTCCCAGCCCCCTAAAGCGCTGCAGGCTCAGAGAAGTCTTAGGGTTTAGGGATGCGCAAAAAGTTCTGATGAAGGACAAGGGCGGCCTCACCCTTCGCGAGTCCGCACAGTGTCCGAAAGAGGACGAGGCAGCATTCCAGGACGTCACCAAGTACACCTATTTCAACACGAACAATCTTTGGGTTCACCTGGGGAAGCTGAAAGAGCTCTTTGAGAAGAGTGGTGGGGCACTGCCTCTACCCGTCATGAAGAATGACAAAACCGTTGACCCCCGAGACAAGAAGTCAACAAAGGTAGTGCAACTGGAAACCGCCATGGGTGCTGCTATTTCCTGCTTCGATGGAGCACAAGCCATCAAGATCCCAAGGACACGATTTGCCCCCGTGAAGAAGTGCGAGGACCTTCTTGCCCTTCGGTCAGATGCGTACACTCTTACAGAGGACTTTCGCATTGAGCTAGTTCCAGAGCGTGGCGGAGTTCCACCACTGATCAAGCTGGATGATGCTTACAAGTTTGTGGATGCTCTCGACACTCTTATTCCCAATGGAGTCCCCTCCCTGAAAGAGTGCGTTTCTCTGAAGGTTGAAGGAAAGGTGGAGTTCGCCAATGGTGTTGTGGTCAAGGGCAAGGTTACCATCAAAAATTCCAGCGACGAGAAGAAGATCGTGCCCGCAAAGGTATACCAAGACGAGACGGTCGAGCTTTGAGCACAATTTCCGAAGGACTCCCATTGATTTAACCGACCATTTTCCAACTGGTGCTCTCTTTTGGCCCTGATTTGCAGGTCCAGCCATGGTTGCCCCTGACACTGCATGTAGCTTTGATTCACGCTTAGCTCAAATCGTATACTATCCCACCCCAAGCCCGCCTAATCCACGACAGGCGTATTGTAGCTGGCCAATGGATCCACCAGTTGTTCCAACCAACAGGTCCAGGATTTTACTACGCTGTGGAAAGGAAGTCTCAACAGTCAAACCTGCAGCACCTGCCACGTTTCGAGCACTTGTGAGCCAGGAGCCCGTTTGAAGAGTTCAGCTTAACATACTCAGAGAGCCCTGTTTCTCAAGCCTCAACCCTGAACACCCACTTAGCCTGAGGCCATATCCCGGCCGTTAAAGATACAAATCTCGAATCCTTTCTCACCAAAATGCCAGCAAGCCCGATGAGTGCAACAGTTTCGGGCTTCAGGTTGGCATTGGCATTCCGGTGCCTGCAACCGCGCATGATACTGATATTCGATCCTTTGTTTCATGTAGCCATTTGCAGAGCTGTCTAGTTTTGATGAGTCAGCAGCCGACTCTGTGTGGGACTTACATGTAGAATCTTCGCGCACTGCCTTACCAGAGCCGCCATGGTGTATACCAAAGTCGTGCCCGGTACCGAGGCCGGACAATGGAGACATCCGGAGGTGTTCCCAAATGCCCGCTTGTGCCACCCTCCCAAAGAACGGAAACGTCAATTCTAGCGGTCCTAGCACCAACAAATCCCGAGCCCTGATGCCCAATTCAGTCTATCTCTGGATTCCTAAGCCTTCAACCAAACCCTCAGACCTTACCTTTGTCGTAAACCTGGTCTTTGATTATTCCGAGCTTCACTGCAAAACTTTCAATCAGGATCCAGAACATGGTTGGGGATCCATCCACCGCAGCTGCGATGGAAGGGACACGCTATGTTTGGGGCAGCAGATTTGTGTGAGCTTGGGCTTGGGTTTTGGATTTTCGACTAGTGGTTCGGCTGTCGGCTTGATCTATAGATACAGCATTTCGGTCTGGGTTTTCGTTGGGAGCGGGGTCTGCGTCGCAAGTTTCGCCACCAAAGCTCAAAGCACACCAAGGGTCGTAAGCACTTTGTCGACTTTGCAAGAGGTCGTTTCTGTTGAGAACGATACCCTTAAGCCTTAGCCTTAGCCCTAAACCCAAGGCCCATGCAAGCTTCTTGCATAAGGCCTGAGCCCCGCAACCATGGAGCCTTTTTGTCACCCTGGTCACCAAACCAATCAAGGCCTTGAGCTGTAAACCCAGGCTCGAAACCTTCTTCCCAAAAGCCCGCCTGAAAGAAACTTTCGCCCCAAACCAAAACCACCTATGCGTCAAGCTTTAAGCCCTAAACTCGCGTTCTGCACCTGAAGACCGGAACGCTTTTTCTACGGCAGGAGCCTTCCGTGGGCATGTTCGACCCCGACACAAAAGAGCAGGCTGGGTTTCTGGCACAGAGTGGAATAGCTTGCTGAGAAATTGGATAAGTATAAGTGAAGTACCCTCGATGCGTCTCTTTGACCTGCTGCCAGGCGTCCTGATCCCTTCAAAGTGGGAATTAGTGTGTAAGGGGTAAGATACAATTCGTTTTGACGCAGGATCCCACCGCAAGACCTACTACCACGGAGTCTTTTCAAAGCCCTAAGCCAGCCTTTCGGATGAACCCTGACAACCTGCCGAAAACCCCCGGTCAGATCAAACTTATTGTTCCCAGAGCTTCGACGCCTGAAAGGCCTGAAGCCTTCAAACAACAAAGCCTTTCACCCTGAAGACTTCTGGTCAGATCAAGACCTCCTACGAAAATTTCCAGCTGTCTCGCAAGAAGTTCGCCAATCGGCCATGTCTCGGGTTCAGGCGGGAGTCTTCAGGAGTGTTTGGAGTGAAGAAGCATTTCAATTCTATGGCATTATTAAGCCTGTCAGACCTTCAGCATTCTGTCGGGCATTGGGTCCTTGTCACTTGAGGCTTATGACCCGGGCAAGAACAAGTTGGGATGAGGTCGGTTGAAGATGTACCGCTAGCTTTGTGGAGTGCTCGGTCAATTATGTTCATTTCGGTTTGCTCTGGTCCTTGCCGTCGTCGTCGTAGTAGTAGTAGTAGTAGTTGTAGTAGTAGTAGTGGTGGTAGTAGTGGTAGTAGTAATGGTAGTAGTGGTAGTAGTGGT